TCGCAAAGCTCTCTGGCTGCCTTTGCTACATTTTCTTAGCTGTAGTTTGGGGGGTAACAGTGAAGTGGGAAAGGCTGTAGAATTGGAATCCTGCCATAGGGAAAGTTCTCTCAGACCCTGTTTAGATGCTACCTTTTCTTGGGGCGGCGGCTCGCATAAGCTATTCTGAGGCTTGCCTTTTCACTCTCTCAATGGTGCTTTGTAGAACGGAATTTCCTAAGTTCCATTTGATCCAATTTAGCATCAAAAACGCTCCATATGCCTAGGATCCAATCTGACTAAAGACGTGCCCGTGTGTTCTCTGTGTGCATCTTGTCGAGAAACCACTCTCCCCATGCGTGCGTGAAGATCCGTTCTTGCACTATCTCCTAAAAGCTTCATTGCTTTGCTTTCGCAGTTGAGTCTACAGTCCATCTGGTATTACTGTGTGTATAGTTTGTAAGGCAGAAACCAACTTTAATTTTTTTCCTCATGGGTTCCTAAATGTCCCAGAATAATGTATTGAAAATTTCCCCCTCTCACCCTCAACTCTGAAATGCTGCATTTGTCATAAATATGATGACCGTAGGATTTATTACCCAAATTGATTAAGTTTTGAGAGGAAAAGAGGGCATTGCTAATAATTGCGTTAGGACAAGGGGTATAAACGGGCTGCCTTAGGCAGACTGGAATGACGGTCCTGCCCGTCCCAAAGCAGGGCTCGTTTCGTGCGGGGCTGTTTCTAGGTTCTGTTCCATTCCATATCTGACCAGCTGTGCAGCAGAGCTGCTGTCTCTTATTTCTGCAGCTTTGAATAAGTCTTGATTCAAGTAAGTATGTCCTCTTACCTTCCAGATTGTCCTGGATATTCTAGGCCCTTTATGTGGCTGTGTAACCATTAGAACCACTTGCCATATTCCACAGACAAAAAAAGAAGACAAAACAAAACAAAAACCATTGTGTTTTTGATTAGGATTGCATTGATGCTATATTTCAATCGACAAAATTAAAGTATTGAAACATGAGCGCTCCGTTCATTCCGACTTTCCTCATTTTCTCTCAATGTTTACAGTTTCCTGTGCAGAGTCCCGAATAACTTTTGTTAGGTTTATTTCTAGGTGTAAGACTATTTTTAATGTTATTATAAATAGTATTTTTTTAATTTTAAATTGTTGATGTTACCTAGAAATGCAAATTAGTTGTAAATTGAACTTGTAACCAGCAACCTTATTTAACTCATTCAAATTCTAATAATTTAGATTTTCTATAAAAATAATCTGAAATATTATGAGATTTGTTCTTTTCAAATTATTATGTATTTTATTTATTTTTTCTTGAGTTATTGTATTAGCCAGGATCTTCATTAAATTATTAAGTGGTAATAACATACATCCTTGTCTTGTTCTCAAACTGTAGACCAATTTCTCCTTTAATTTCCTTCTATTTTTGTTGTTTCATTTTGAGGGCATGTTATTGGGTGCATACAAATTTAGCATTGCTACATTTTCCTAGTAGGCTGAATCTTTTCATTGTTATGAAATGTCTGTCTTTCTCTCTAGAATAGGAAAAGCTACTTTGCCTAATGTTAACGTAGCTACATCTACTTTTATGGTTGCTGCTTGCATGGTACATCTTTTTCTATTCTTTTCTTTTCAAATTATCTCTATTCTTATGTTTTTCATATATTTCCTGTAAATACCATATAGTATTGTTTCAATCCACTCTGACCATTTATTTGTGTCTTTTATTGGAACATTTAGTCAATTTACATTTTAAGTAATTACTTAAATATTTAGAGTTTAATATGCCACCTTGCTATTTGTCATGCCTGTTCTACCTATCATTTTCTCTTCTTTCCTTCCTTTAGATTGTGTATTCTTTGGTATTCTTTCTTTCTATTTGGTTTAGTTTAGAAGTTATAAATCCTTTTACTGTTCTTCTAGCAGTTACTTTATACCCTGCAACATACACCCTTGATTTACCAAAATCTAATGTAATTGTAATTATGCTTTATTCTCTTCCCAGACAATACAAGGACCTTAGAGCTTTTAACTCTCTCTCCCCGACTTCTATGTTATTTGTTTTAATTCTGTATGTATTTGAAACTCTGCAGACATTATCGCTACTCTTTTATAGGGTCAATATTCATTTAAATTTACCACATTTATAAATTTTCTTGCTTTGCTTTTGTTACAACTTGACATTTCTTGTGCATAAAGAAACTGCTTTAGAATTTTTTTTAGGGGAAGTCTGCTGATGGTAAACTCTCAGTTTTTGTTTGTCTGAAAATATCTTGAAGGATATTTTTCCTGGATGTGGAATAATTCTAGATTGTTAGGTTTTTTGGTTTTGTTTTACCCACAAATGGAAAGAGTTATTCTGTGGTCCTCTGGCTTTCATAGTTTCCATTGATGGATGTGTTTTCATTGTAACTGCTATTCTTTTGAAAGCACCTCGTGCTTTTCTTGGTTGTTTTTAATCTGTTTTTTTTTTTTTTTTTTGTCACTTTACTCTTAGTCTTTGGATTTATGCAGTTTCACTAAGATGAATCTAGGAATGAATTTCTTTGTTTTTTCCTGCTTAGGGTTTGAGCGGTGTTTCTCGACTCTGTGAATTGATGTCTTTCATCAGTTTTAGAGTAAACATTTTGAATGTTAGTTATTCTGTCCATACTGTCTCTTCTCATCTCCTGTTAAGCATCTTCTTACTACTCCTTTGAGTCTTTTCTCCTCCCTTTTGTATTTTCCATCCTTTTGCCTTTTGGGGGTTTTATTTATTAAGTCTGTCTTTTGCGAAGAAAGTATGAATAATTTCTTCAAACTTTAAAATTCACAAATTCTCTCTTTAGTTTTCTAATTTTCTCTTAAGTCATATATTGAGTTCATTTATTATTGTATTTTTGAGCTCTAGAATTTCTATTTTTATTTAAATATGCAGTGTCTCTTTTTAAAAAGTTTCTAATTATCTGTTAAAATTTTTAAGCTTGTTATCATCTTGATCATAGAAAACAGTGTTGTTTTATAATTTGTATGTGATGATTCTAATATTTGGAGCCCCTAGTACTGCTGTTTCTGTTATGTATCGTTTGTGCTGGTTTTAGTTTATGTTGTCATGGCTCCTCAACTATCCAGTTATCTTTGAGTATGTGCTGGGTATTGTATTTAAAAGCTGATTGCAAACATAATTTGAGGTTTATGGGTAATTTTTCCCCAGAGATGCTTTTTGTTTGCCCTACAATGTGCGTGTGGGTAGCAGCAAATCAGGATGGATGTAATCCAATTCCAGAAACTGGACATTTCTGGGCTGTCCAGTGACTTATAGCAGAGCTGCATTCTGAGCTGGCTCACTCATGCTCTTAGAGTACCTAACAAAAGCAGAGGAAGTGTGGTATAATAGGGCCCCACTCTTGACAGATCCAAATTCTGTTTGTCTACCTACCATTCAAGATTGTCAAAATCCATGCTTCCCTTCTTGTTTCCTTCTTCTGGACTGGCAAATGACCCTGGGGCAGAAGTGGCCCCTAATCTACAGATTCATTTCTCTAGATTTCCAATTTCTTCTGGATCTTGGGCCGGTAATTCTTCATGATCATGTTAGCCCTCCCTTGCCTTTATGCTGTTTATTTTGGTTTTTCGTTTGTTTTCAGAGGCCTGAGTTAACTAGTTCACCATTACATGAATTAGATGCTCTCACGTAAAATACGAATTGGATTCTAGTCTCTGTTTTGGAACTTACCAGTCGTTTTGACTGTCAACAGTGTGCTTATAGGCTATGAGCCTGTTCCCTCATATATAATTTGAGCAGCGTCCCTTGGGTTCCTGCAAATCCGTTTCTCCATACATGATTGCCTCTAAATCGCACAGTGGATTTTAGGATGAGGAGCAAAGAGAGCAGTTACAGAAGGCAGTAACTACTGCGTTTCTTTTTTTCCTGTAGCTAAGAGAATCTGGAATATGGTAGGTGCTAGTAAGTATTTTAAGAAAAAAAGAGAGAGAGAGAGAGAGAGAGAGGAAGGAAATCTTCCGGCAAGGCATTTGCTAAGATTTTGTTTTTAATCTGTGGAGTTCTTCACTACCATCAGTTCTGTCAGGCCAAGAACCCCCTTTTGTAGTCTTGGCTTGTCTGAGGTCAGGGAGAAACAAGAAGAGGCCTGAGACCAGTCTGACTTGCAGAATCTTAGGAAACTTTATTAACTCATGATGCCCACTAGCCTCTTGGGAGCAAGAAAAGGCAGCATTTCAAGCCCTGTTCCAAAGAAAGTACACTGGACAAAGTCAAAGAGCGCCCACCCCATCTCCCACCACAGCTTTGCACAAAGCCATCGCATCGCCATGCCGACGTGCACCCACGAGGGAAGTCAAGAGCCTCAATCAGAAAACACACAAGAAGATGGTTAACAGTAAAACCTTTGTACCTTCCCTTTGCTTAGAAGTTTCTCCCACTGTAATTTTCTTTTCATAGTCTCCTGGCGTCTTTTATCTTAAGACACCCACTTCTTCACTGCATGCGATCCCACAGGAACCACATATTATACACAAAGGAGAACAAAAAAGGGAATGCACATCATGGCCAGGTGGCCCTTTAATTGAAGAGTTTACAAACCGGAGGACTGTAATACAACACTACCCTTGCAGAGCAAAAGGACAGGAACACTGGGCAGGGCAAGTTAGTCTTCATAACCGAGGCCCTTAGCTGGGGCGCTCACCTGTACTTCAGCTGAGTATCTGTTTTTCATTCTGCCTTCAACAGTCAGGGTGTCGGTCTGTTATGGCTTACCAAAATTCTAGCTGTAAAATAAATGCCCATCTTGTCATGTTCTCCCCTGGCTATCAGGCGAATATAGCAATTTCATACATTACTACATTGCCAAGAATCTAAACATCTAATTTATTCTTTTTTTTTAAACTGATGTATTTGAAAGCCATCACTGGGTTTTTCCAATGTAAAAAAAGAAAAATAGGCGCCTGTGCCAAAATTCATGGGTGTAAAAAGCCAACGAGGCCGAACTTACAAAGGAAATTAAAGGTTTGTTTATGGATAGCAGTTTTATTGGTAAAGATATATGAAAATTGTCACCTCTGAAAACTCAGGTAATAAAGCTCTAAGCTTGACTTTGGATTGCCACCATCTCTTTCTTCTACGGGGAAGAAAACCTGCCCATGAACAAGATGCTGCTTGAGGGATTGTGCCGAATAAAGAAGAGGAACGGGTGGTCAGCAATGAAATCCTCCTCTGGCAACAACATGGCGAGGACAGCGATGCCTGCAGTGGCAGCCGCCGCCTCTGTACCCTCTTCATTGACTTCCACAAAGGACTTGTGGACAATTTTTGATATAAAAATATCTCTGGCTCCTGATATGCCAGAGAGATCAGCCTTGCTACTATTAAAGAGGTCCTGCACACCCAGGCGGGTGAGGTCAGAGTTGAGGATGTAGCTGTCTTCCAGTTTGAACCTGGGCAAGCCAACATTGACTTCAATGGTACCCAGATTCCCAGGTTTGGTCCACTCATGTAATTTTTCGAAAGTCAGTTGTTCCTCAATCTGGAAATAGAATGAGGCAAAAAGAAGAGGTGAAATCAATTTTATATAAGTAAGGTAATAAACCATTATTTAAATGAATGGGCCCATAATATCAGTGGCTAATTAGTTTCCTACATGCTTTGTGCATAAACAGATTCCATTTGGAGGATTTAATTTCTTTCTGGCAATTGGTGATATAGAACAGAGCTGTGTTCCAAGTCATAGGGTCCAAGTACAGGGATATTGGACACTGAGTACGTCATCCATCTACCCACCCATCCATCCAACATCCATCTAACCATCCACCTACCCATCCATCTACTCATCCACCCACCCACC